TTCAGGGTCTCCTACAAAGAGTAGATCCGTCTTCTAGCATTCGCCATAGAGTTGTTGGGAACGATGGTCTTCCCAAATGGCCCGAGTCTAAGAATCAACACTCGAGTTATAACAATGGCGCACACTCTATTCAAAGGATACAAGAACTAGGGACAAGTGAAGTACTATCCTATTCCCGGTCATATTGTCTGACATGTACCAAGCCCTGGGAAAATTTTGAGAGGGGCATCGTTACTTCCAAGGTTGTAATTTACTCCTTCAGTTGTGGATCTTAAGTCATCTGGAAAAAGGGGTTGGGACTCAGGAGTTGCATACTCTCGATAACAACAACACACTTAGAGATTTGAATGACATGTTGTACTGGGCAAATCTGGATAATTGGAGAACTAGAAGGAGATCGGCTTCAATCTTTTCCAAATTGAGAGAAGAAGATCTCCAATGGATGATCAATCGCTTCATCTCAAAAGAATTCGTCGTAGAGAGCCGCAGATAGCTTGTGTTACCTCTACCAGGTATTCAGGGAATCCCCCCTTATGCACCCTTCAGAGTCTTGCGACACTTTTGGAGGATGTAAACTACACCTCGAGAGGCGTACTGTGGCACCTATGTATACAATATTGGGGACAACAGAGTGCACGAAACTTCAGAAATGTTGAGGGAATGGAAAGGGGCCAAGCAGATGGATCAATACACCATTGCTCCAGACCGATTCAACGCCAGATATGATGAGGGTTACAAAGATTGGCTGAGAGATAACATACAAAGTATTTCCTCACCAATCTCGCACAGTTTTTGCAGCATAACGGACCAAGAGGCCAAAGCGGTGATCGAGCTAAGAGAAGTAAAAAGAAAATCCCAAGAAATGTACGTAAAGTTTTTCGAGAACCAAGATGCTCTTGAGAAGGCAACTCAAGAGGTGGAAAGACTAAGACGTGGATATGACGAATTTGATATCTGCACCAGCACCTCAGGCTCCGGAGGTACAACATGCGGCTACTATGGCTCCCCGCATGGATGTTCCATTGGAAATAAGCACATTTCCTCGTCTGACTACAGGGCCTGTAATGACAAATGATCAGTATGAACTTTTCAGTAAGTTCTTGAAATTGAAACCTCCAGTCTTCAAGGGTGCTGAATCGGAGGATGCTTATCATTTTCTGGTTGACTGTCACGAGCTACTACACAATATGGGTATAGTAGAACGGTTTGGTGTTGAGTTCGTGAGTTATTAGTTTCAAGGGAACGCCAAAATGTGGTGGCGATCCCATGTTGAGTGTCAACCGACAGAGGCACCACCTATGACTTGGGCCTCATTCTCTAGCTTGTTTATGAAGAAGTATATCCCCCGGACTTTGAGGGATAGGAAAAGGGATGAGTTCCTGAGCCTAGAGCAAGGTAGGATGTCGGTTAATGCTTATGAGGCTAAGTTTCATGCACTATCCAGATATGCCACTCAACTCTGTTTCAGTCCTCAAGAGCGGATTCGCCGGTTTGTGAAGGGGTTGAGGTCAGAATTGCAGATTTCGGCCTTACAGATAGCGGCAACGACAAAATCCTTCCAAGAAGTGGTAGACTTTGTGATAGAAGTGGAAGGAGTGAAGCCAGACGACTTCACTACAACATCGACATAAAAAAGGTTTCGAAAGGGAGGTGAGTTTAATGGTTCTTACACTAGAGGACAGGGTTCGGGAAGTTACTCAGTCCGACCAATTCAGTCTTCACTACAGACTGTAGTTGGGGGACCACCTCAGACCGGTCAACACTTCTCCGAGGGGCCTATGCTTGACTCCAGAGAATGTTATGGATGTGGGGAGATTGGACATATTAGGAAAAATTGTCCCAGACAAAGTTATAGACCCCCAATAGCTAGAGGTAGAGGTGGTCATGGTAGAGACTGTTATTCTGGAGGACGTGGTGGTCGAGGTAATGGTGGTCACCAAAACGGCAGAGGTAATGGGCAAACTGGGGCCACTACCTCACAACATGGTAGGGGCAACGGACAGACGAACGATAGGGCCCATTGTTACACTTTCCCTGGGCGGTCTGAAGCGGAGGCATCTGATGCTGTCATCACAGGTAATCTTTTGGTTTGTGATTGCATGGCTTCTGTATTATTTGATCCTGGATCCACGTTTTCTTATGTATCTTCCTCATTTGCTAATGGTCTAAATTTACATGGTGAATTTCTTGATATGCCTATTCGTGTTTCTACTCCGGTGGGTGAGTCTGTGGTAGTTGAAAAGGTGTATAGGTCTTGTCTTGTAACTTTTGTGGGGAGCAACACTTATGTAGATTTGGTTATCTTAGAAATGGATGATTTTGATGTAATTCTGGGTATGACTTGGCTTTCTCCGCAATTTGCAATTTTGGATTGTAATGCTAAAACGGTGACGTTAGCCAAGCCTGGGACAGATCCGTTAGTTTGGGAGGGTGACTACACTTCCAATCCGGTGCGTATCATCTCCTTTCTTAGTGCTAAGAAAATGGTTAGTAAAGGGTGTTTAGCTTTCTTGGCATATCTCAAGGATGACACTACCCAAGTACCTTCGATTGAGTCGGTTTCGGTAGTCCGCGAGTTTTTGGATGTGTTCCCTGCAGATCTTCCTGGTATGCCACCAGATAGGGATATTGACTTCTGTATCGATCTTGAACCGGGCACACGCCCCATTTCTATACCCCCTTATAGAATGGCTCCCGCGGAGTTAAGAGAGTTAAAAGCCCAACTTCAAGAGTTGTTAAACAAAGGCTTTATTAGACCAAGTGCATCTCCTTGGGGTGCTCCAGTTTTGTTTGTGAAGAAGAAGGATGGGAGTTTTCGAATGTGCATAGACTACAGACAACTGAATAAGGTAACCATAAAGAACAAGTATCCTCTTCCTCGCATTGATGACTTGTTCGATCAATTACAAGGTGCTTGTGTCTTCTCTAAGATTGACTTGAGATCCTGTTATCATCAATTGAAAATACGGGCAACGGATGTGCCAAAGACTACTTTTCGAACGAGGTATGGGCATTACGAATTTGTAGTGATGTCTTTTGGTCTTACGAATGCCCCTGCTGCGTTCATAAGCTTGATGAACGGGATTTTTAAGCCGTATTTGGACCTCTTCGTGATCGTATTTATTGATGATATATTGGTATACTCAAAGAGCAAGAAGGAACATGAAGAGCATTTGAGAATGGTATTGGAAATGTTGAGGGAGAAAAAGCTTTATGCCAAGTTCTCTAAGTGTGAGTTTTGGCTAGATGTAGTGTCCTTCTTGGGGCACGTGGTTTCTAAGGATGGAGTGATGGTGGATCCTTCTAAGATTGAGATAGTGAAGAATTGGGTAAGACCTACTAATGTGTCAGAAATAAGGAGCTTTGTTGGGTAAGCTAGCTACTACCGCCGATTCGTCAAGGGATTCTCTTCTATTGCTTCCCAAATGACGAACTTGACTAAGCAAAATGTTCCATTTGTATGGTCGGATGAGTGTGAGGAAAGCTTTCAGAAGCTCAAGACTTTGTTGACAACCGCACCTATCCTTACCTTGCCAGTAGAGGGTAAGAACTTCATTGTTTATTGTGATGCATCCTATTCTGGTTTAGGTGCAGTACTAATGCAAGAGAAGAGTGTGATTGCTTAAGCTTCAAGGCAATTAAAGGTTCATGAACGTAACTATTCAACTCATGATTTGGAATTGGCTGCAATAGTGTTTGCATTAAAGCAATGGAGACACTACTTATATGGGGTTAAGTGTGAGGTCTACACGGATCATCGTAGCCTTCAATATGTCTTTACTCAGAAAGATTTGAACTTGACACAGAGGAGATGGATGGAACTACTGAAGGACTACGACATCACTATTTTGTATCATTTGGGGAAGGCGAATGTTGTAGCGGATGCTCTAAGTAGAAAGGCGGGAAGCATGGGAAGTCTAGCTCACTTGCAAGCTTCTAGACGCCCATTGGCTAGAGAGGTTCAGACTCTAGCTAATGACTTGATGAGATTAGAAGTAAATGAGAAGGGAGGATTGTTGGCTTCTGTGGAGGCAAGATCTTTCTTCCTTGACAAGATTAAGGGAAGACAGTCTGATGATGAGAAACTGCGCAGAATTCAAGATAAGGTATTGCGAGGAGAGGCTAAGGAAGCACAAATCGATGAGGAAGGTGTTTTGAGGATCAAGGGAAGGGTATGCGTACCCCGCGTCGATGATTTGATCAACACTATTCTGATAGAGGCTCATAGTTCGAGGTATTCGATACATCCGGGTGCAACCAAGATGTACCGTGACCTAAAGCAACACTTTTGGTGGAGTAGAATGAAGCGTGACATTGTGGATTTTATTGCCAAATGTCCAAACTGTCAACAAGTAAAGTATGAACACCAAAGGCCCGGAGGAACACTTCAGAGAATGCCCATTCCGGAATGGAAGTGGGAAAGAATTGCAATGGATTTTGTGGTTGGTCTTCCCAAGACTTTGGGAAAGTTTGATTCTATTTGGGTAATTGTTGATAGGTTAACTAAATCTGCTCATTTCATTCCGGTCAAGGTGACTTACAATGCAGAAAAGTTAGCCAAACTTTACATCTCGGAAGTGGTGCGATTGCATGGGGTTCCACTATCCATCATATCATATAGAGGTACGCAGTTTACTTCTAAGTTTTGGAAAACATTGCATGCGGAATTGGGTACTAGGTTGGACCTTAGTACTGCGTTCCATCCTCAGACCGATGGTCAGTCTGAAAGGACGATTCAAGTGTTGGAGGATATGCTTCGTGCATGTGTGATAGAGTTTGGTGGTCATTGGGATAGCTTCCTACCCTTAGCGGAATTTTCATACAATAATAGCTATCACTCAAGCATTGATATGGCTCCATTTGAAGCATTGTATGGCAGGAGATGTAGGTCTCCCATTGGTTGGTTTGATGCGTTCGAGGTTAGACCTTGGGGTACTGATCTCTTGAGGGATTCGATGGAAAAAGTGAAGTCTATTCAATAAAAGCTTCTAGCGGCGCAAAGTAGACAAAAAGAATATGCAGATCGAAAGGTTAGAGACTTAGAGTTCATGGAGGGTGAACAAGTCTTGTTAAAAGTTTCACCAATGAAAGGGGTGATGCGGTTTGGTAAAAGGGGTAAACTAAGTCCAAGGTACATTGGACCATTTGAAGTACTTAAGCGAGTAGGAGAGGTGGCTTATGAGTTAGCCTTGCCTCCAGGGCTGTCCGGAGTGCATCCGGTATTCCATGTGTCGATGTTGAAAAGATACCATGGGAATGGAAACTACATTATCCGTTGGGATTCGATTTTGCTTGATGAGAACTTGTCTTATGAGGAGGAGCCTGTTGCTATTTTAGATAGAGAAGTTCGCAAGTTGAGGTCAAGAGAGATTGCATCCATCAAGGTGCAATGGAAGAATCGACCCGTTGAAGAAGCCACTTGGGAGAAGGAGGCGTATATGCGAGAAAAATACCCACATCTGTTTACAGATTCAGGTACTCCTTTTCTCCCTTGTTTTCCTTCTTGTGATCGTTCGGGGACGAACGATGGGTAAATTGGTATCTATTGTAACGACCTGTTTGGTCGTTTGGAGCAACAGACTCCAATTCTGGAAAAATTGACAGAAGCGACGGACCCCACGACGGACCGTCATGGGCACGACGGACCGTCGCAGGGTCTCGTTTCAAAACACTTAGAAAATTTGAAATTGGGTACTGAAAAATCGACTCTCTGAACTTCGTAATGGAATGGCAGGACGGACCGTCACAGGCGTGACGGACCGTCACAGATAATTCAGTGGAAACTGAGTCTCTGACCCTTGCGACGGCCTGCAGGATGGACCATCGCAGGCGCGACGACCCGTCACAGTTTGTATAATCCCAGTTGAAGTCGGATTTCTGGTTAAGTTTTAAAGGACGTTTTTGACTATTCTTGCCTTAATTATAAAGTTCGTGGGTTTATATTAATAACTCAAATTCTTGGGGGTTAAAAGAGGTAACCCTAAGTTAATTAGTGGGGTATTATTGCCATCTTTTATTCTTAATTATATACTAATTAGGGTAAAAGAAAGATGGTTTGAATAAGCAAATAGAAAGAACAAAAAGGGAGAAAGAGAAACGATCGAGAAGAAGAGGAAAACACCAAGCTGTGAGGATTAACTTGCTTGATTTCAATTCTTCGGTGGAGGTAAGTTATGGTTTCATGCTTCATAAGTAAACTCTTAATAGTGAATGATATGTATTGGTAGTATTGTAAACCCTACTATATGCTTAATGGTATGTTTGTATGAATATGATTATGTGATTGTGATAAGATAAGCATGATGAAAATATTGAATCCCAAATCTTGAAAAGAAACTTTAATATACATTATTAATGATGATGCCTTGGTATAGAAGAAGGCTTGATGAACTAAAGTAATGGGATTGATGATGCCTTGGAATAGAGAAGGCTTGATGATTTACAGAATGATATTAGTTGATCGGAGTGTCACGTTCCGACACATAGTATTAGTGGATCGGAGTGTCACGTTCCGACACATAGAATTAGGGGATTAGAGTGTCACGTACCGACACATGTAGGGGATCAGAGTGTCACATTCCGACACATGTAGGGGATCGGAGTGTCACGTACCGACACATGTAGGGGATCGGAGTGTCACGTTCCGACACATGTAGGGGATCGGAGTGTCACGTTCCGACACATAGAATTAGGGGATCGGAGTGTCACGTTCCGACACATAGAATTAGGGGATCGGAGTGTCACGTACCGACACATAGTAGTAGGGGATCGGAGTGTCACGTACCGACACAAGAGGAAGAAAGATAATGAATCTTGAAAGATGATAATATACTCAACTTAATAAACTTAATTCCCAAATGAGTATGGAATTGAGGCTTGAGCCCTCATGGATGAACTTGATGGTACTTATTGATGATTATAGTACTTGTTGTTGCTACATGTTGAGTTTTATAGTTGATTTACGATAGTATTTGATATATACTGTTCCCTATTTTGAGTTGGCCGATGATATCTACTCAGTACCCGTGTTTTGTACTGAATCCTACTTTTATGTTTTTCTTCTTGTTATTTGTGGAGTGCAGCAAACGTGCCATCATCTTCGACTCAACAGTAACTCAAGCCAGTCTTCGTCACACCGGATCTTCAGGGTGAGCTAACGCTTCTAGCTTGGACTGGATCTTCTCCTTCATGTCTTGATGCCTTGAACTTCCGGCATGGAATAGCTTCTTATGTATTTTTAGCTTCTTAGAAACTCTTAAAATTAGTAGTTTAAAGTAGATGTTCTTGTGATGATGACTTCCAGATTTTGGGGAATAATAGATGTTGAATTTTAGAAGTTAATGAATTGATTTTATTAATGAGTTTAAGTCTTCCGCATTACTTTATGTTGATATTACCTTGAAATGTTAAGGTTTAGATTGGTTGGTTCGCTCACATAGGAGGGTAAGTGTGGGTGCCAGTTGCGGCCCGGATTTGGGTCGTGACACTTATAGTGTTAATTAAGAATACTAACCGGTTAAGCAGAATAGAAAATCAGCAATGAAGTATTAAGAGCCTGTTTGACTCAGCTTAAAAGCTGGTCAAACTGACTTAAAAGCTGGTTTTTGACTTATTTAACTGTTTGACAATACTCAAAATAGCTTATTTTAAGTTAAAAAAAACTTATTCTAAGCCAAAAGTTAAAAGCTGGGGTAGGGGTGCTTTTTTTTTTAGCTTATAAGCTGTTTTATGTTGACCACATTTTTATGTTTTTTCCCTTAATATTTTTATACAATCTCCAAATTAACCATATAAGCCTAACATCTCTTTCTTCTATTTTTCCCTTTTCACGTTTGACATAACAACTTCAGCACTTTTATCCAAACGCATAACTGCTTATTTTAAAAATAAGTTTCAGCACTTTCAAAAGTACTTTTTTAAAGCTGCTTTTATTAAGTCCATCCAAACGGGTCCTAAGTAAGGTTTCGATCCACAACAGCAACACAACAAGAAAGATTCCAAAGATGATTCAAACATTTACAAGAATTCTTACTTCTTTTCAAGAATAGGGGAGTAATATTTAAAGTATTTCAAGAAAAGCAAAGAGAGAATGAGAGAAAAAAGTGTAATGAGAGGACTTGTTATTGAGAGAACTTGTGTTGAAAGTGTGAATGAATAATAATGAAAGGAGGGTCTTATTTATATAGCAAAGAAGAGGGGGGGGGGGGGAGGAAAATGAATAAATTAAGGAGTGAATTATATGCTATTTCCTCATTTTCAAGAGAGCCAAAACTCAAAAAAATATTTTAATTATTTTTTACCAATTATAAGCAAGTAAGAAATAAAATAAAATAAAAGAATAGTATTATTATTATTTTTTTAAAATAAGAAGAGCCAAATCAGATTTTAAATTATTTCTACTATATAAAAATAAGTAAGAAAATCCATCATTTATGAAAAAGGAAAAAGAGATCAATTAATATTATTTTCTTTATTTCAAAGGAGTCAAAATGAGAAAACTTTAAACATGTACTATTACCAAAAATAAGTAATTAAGAATAAAAGTTAGGAAGATAATATTGTTTTTTCCTTAAATAATAAAAATCCAAATCAAAATTACTTTCTTACCTTAGCCAAACAAAACAATTTAAGGGAGAGAATAAATTAAACCCAATCTAAAAATATTTTCCTTATTAAGGATAAGACTGAAAATCAGACTTATTTTAATCAACTTATTATTCTACCAAATAAAGTAAAATCTAGCCACTTTAGTTGAGGTTATTCCACTTAATTGATAAAAAAAATAATAACATGATTTTGAAAAATGCTATATCAGGGAAGGGAAAATATCACAATTATACCAAAATAGTACTATAAGTATACTAGGCAAGTCTTAACCCGAGTAACCGAGAAAGAGGAGAAAGTTAATCAATGTTAACACATTTTTTGCGGATCACGATAAGCAAATGGACAAACCAATCCAATTAACTAAAGAAACAATCAAAAAATTCTATCAAATCTCCTATTAAGATCCACTAAATAAGTTTCAAAATCACTAAACGAGAATAACTAAGCAAGCACAAACCTTTTGATTTTAATACAAATTTGAATGCATAATATTATAAAAACTTAGGCAATAAAAAACTCCAGCATGTAGTAAATTACTCCAAAAGATCAAACTATAATGGTGTGTATCAAGGATTAGAAAGAACACAATTTAGAGACTCACAAACACTAACATATGCAAAAGACGATTTTCACATAGAATACTGATTTTAACAAGTAAAGCATGCATTGAAATCAGTCACGTAAAGAAATTTATTAAAATGAAATTTAACTATAAGATAATAGACCTAGACATATCTATCTTTAACACTTTTGAATTCCGCCGCAGTTCTGCCTTGCTCGTTGCGTGGAGCTGCTGCTTTTGTGCGTCTGGAGCCTATTGTTGCAGGTGTTGGGGGCTGCTGCCTGCTGGTGGGTTTCGTCGGCTGCTGCTGCTACTACCTTTGTCCCTGCTAGAAAAGAGAAAAGAACGAGGGAGACGGAGAGAGGGAGAGGGGAGAAGGACGGAGAAAAGGAGGATGGGCGGCAGTTTCTGGCTGGTTGCTGGAGTCCATCGCTGGTTGTCGTGGCTTCTGCTACTGGTGGTCAGTAGAGGAGGAAAGGAGAAGAAGAATAAGGGAGGAGAGAAGCGGGAGAAGGGAGGAAACACGGGAGGAGAGAGAGGTCGCTTTGACGGACTTGTGGGATATGTAGACTGGCAGATCTAGACAATAGAGGTTCCATTGGATGCGGTAACTGTCGAGTTTTATAAAAATGATCTGTCAGTCTACGAATCGCACAAAGCCATTGAAACCTATCATTCTTCTTGGATGATTATCAATCTTGTTTCCATAACCAAGGAAGAAGTCTACGAGTCGAGTCGTCTGTGGAAATGTTCGATAGCCCACAATTGGAACAAGATGTTGCATCTCTCAAAAAATTTTCTACCATTAACGCATGCCGACAAACTTCTCATTATTTCCACTAGGATTATGGGCACTATGGTTTTCCTAGGTTCACCCTCTCTTTGAGTTAAAAATTGAACCACATAACCCATGGTAGTCCTAATTTTCCCCTGCTTTATAGGAAAGAAAGACTAAGGAACCAGTTATGTGATGGCAAATGCTCCGTGACTTTATTTTTGCCATTGTATAGAAGAACGACCAAACTCTTCATTGAAATGTTTACGACTGTTCTTTTCACAAAAGAGGTAGTACAAAAATTCTATTGAAGTCCATCTAGAATCTAAACAGTTTATTTCCCATTTATGCCTCAACCCTGGAATCTTTGCTTGTGTGGCACAATAATTTGACGCCCTAGAAGGGAAGGTTAACAAACCCACCAATAGATCACATGTCTCTGAATTTGAAGACCAATCTAGTGGGGTCCCAGAATTTCAGTAAGGCCATAATCATGTAGCGATAAGGAGTAACAAATAAGAGAACGGTCAATCCACCCAATAGTTCGCGGATTTCTAACTCATGGTCTTCCTTGGCATAAAATAGGCTTGATTTAGTTATTATGACCACATTGACACATAATATGCAACTTGTCTAAGGGTGCACACTTGAGTACTGCATATGGATCCTAAAGAAGGATAAATGCAGAGAATTAACTTAGGAAGGATAGGAAAGCTCACTGATGAAAGAGAGAATATATGGGTGCACAACTTGTTGAACATCAGGCATGTCACTCCATATCCACGAGGTCACACAACGCCAAACTATTCGAATCAATATCTTTAATATTTCAGATTTTAGGATGACTTTCCTTTGTTACCCCTCTTCCCCTTTATTTTATTTTCATGTTTTGTTTTCAATTATGATGTAATGATTGAATTCTATAATAAATGAAAGTTGGTTTATTTTCTCTAATATAAAATCCAAGTTTGTAAATTAGGCTTGAATTAATTATTGTGCATCACTTATGTGCCCTCTTAGTCCTACCTCTGGATGAACGAGTCTCCTAGCATTGAGGGCGTTTATCTTAAAACAATCTGTTTGACATCTCAATTTATACAATGTTCTAACTTGGGCTTTCTTTTGATTTTATTTTTATTTTACCCTTCCCCTATGGTTGATTTATAGACAACAGTTTACCACACATGATCAAAAGACACTCCTCTGTCTTTTGCAAGTGAGAAGCGCAAAGAAAAAAAGGTGACTAATGATAAGTTTATGGGTAGAGCTATTTAAAAGGAGCATCTTTTGAACAAGTTGGTCTCAAGTTTGAAACAAAAAATAAGGGAATTGGAAAAAGAGATATCAGATATACATGAGTGAGCCAAGATGTTACTCTCCCCCAATCCCACTTTGGAGACAAACATGTTTAAGCTGCCTATCACAAGCCAAACCACTTTCCAAAATAATCCTCGACCGACTCCCCCAACTTCTCATCCTCAAAATTAGCCAATCTTCCAAATAACACTCACATTTGAAATTGCCCTTATCCTCCCCAACATCATGCTTATGCTTCTAGACCCCCATATCTTACATTGCACCCACAGAATTCCTTGATATGAAACGCCTCTCTACACAGGACAAGAACCCAATCACTCAATCCAAGCGGTACGATTCTAACAAGATTTGTGACTATTATTCAGGGATGAAACAACATACTATCAAAACATGGCGTGCTCTAAGAGACAAGATTGAGAAATTGATTGAGGCTGATGTTATACATTGGACAGATCTTGTGCCGAAGGAGTCCCCACAGTGAACATGTCAAAGTTCATTTGAAGTAGTTTCCAATAAAGATTTATGCCATTTAAGTTTAAGTTTTTCATATTCAGGTTTCATCAAATTTTGACAAGGAAAGTACCCATGTTAGCATATGGACAATAAAGTTGGTCATAATTTGTCATAATAGTTGTTGCTAAAGAGGGTTCCTATTAGTCTTGAATTATACTCTTTGTATTTGACACTGCGTCATAGGTGATTTTCGTGTGAGAGAGGATATGTAGGCGCTCATATGGATTCGGTCTTATACTAATAAAAATTCATTTCCCCTTTTAATATGTAGATGGGGAAGAAATTTTTTAGAGGGATTCAAAAATTCCATCAAAAGAGCATTTTTCTAGCAAACCACAAGTGGGGTAAAATTTTGAGAGGGCCTCAAAAATTTCATTATTCTAGCAAGCAAACACGGGGCATAATTTTTTAGAGGAAGTCTATTATGTTTTTGTATGTCATACACTTAGCTTGAGACATTCCAGTAATTATGTGTGTTTTTGCTAGTATGCTAATAAATTAAAATCTAGAGGCCAATATGAGCTTTTACATCCTAAATGTTATACAATATGTTTTTCTTGGTGTCTACATAGGCTAATTAGGAGCATATATTTTCTTTTAGTGTAAAACCTCCCTAAATAGCAGGCAATGCCTCTTGGATATTAAGCGGAGACACTAGGCACCTTTTAGGTCGTTTTGAATATGGAAGGTGGCGTAGGGGTAGTTAGGACCTTTACGAAGATGATGAAAATCAACTCACAGTTAAAAGACAAAAGTTGATTTTGTCATTTCGAATATTAAGTGTAGACACATAATTTTTAATCGAACTTAAAGTATACACCAGTTTTAGTACATAAACATTACTTTTATTATAAATTAAATATTTATATTTAATATTATTATTGTAAGTACATTTTAAAATATTTGAAAAAATGTGTTTTAGTTTTATTTTGATTTAATGAATAAGTTAATATTTCTTATTTAGAATTTATTATTAACTACTCAATTTTCGGTACTTTAAAAATAACTGAATAATATTATATTGTTGTAAAATAATATGATGTGGATTTCCACTACACAAGAAGTTACTACATAACCTCCATAACCTCCAACTTTGTAAACTATTATTCTTGTAATCTTTTACTTCAATAACCTCCTCCATTATATTCATGTTAATGTCATGTTTATGACTAACCTTTTATATGTCTCTATATTACACTATAAAAGGCATAAGGGTTCATATTTTATACACTTGAAGACTTGGTATAATAGGAAAATCTCTCATCTCTTGTCTCCTTATTTCTATTGCTATCATATTTTATGTTTCTTATCTTGTTTTACTTTAGTTTAACAATACGTTATCAACATGAGTAGCTCATTCTCCGTCAAGGATCAATGGTAGGTGATTTTTATGAATTATCCTTATAATTTTTCGGTTGCTTGGTATACTTCATATGCTATATATTGTTTGTACTAACAAAGCTTGTTTTGTAGTTATTCTAAAATGGTTAGTAAATTATAATAATTTTCATAACAATGTTGAGAGGGACTATTAAAATGTTTGAATTTATTTTAACTGGGGACTTTTCTATGATTCTAACATGTTGTTCTAATTAATTGATTTTATTCATTTTTCTTGTATATTATGTCAAGTTCCAATTATATTAATGATTCTCGATAATCATATTTTTGGTAATGCATTTGATTTATTAAGGTATTGATTGAGGGTAAGACGGTGAATTCGAATTTTTCGCACCAAGTGGATAAGACATCGAGTTAAAGTCTTGGTGCACCATGATAATATGAAATTGAGTTCAAGTACCATTGATTTATGACTAAAGGTATCTTTATATGGGCAAGACATTGGGTTTTAGTCCCAATGATCTATAGTGATGATATGATGATGACTGACATAAAATTTTATACTTTTGACTGAAAGTCCTGAAATTTACCCAATTAATTTGCTCCATTCTCTTATGTGAATGTAATAGGAGTGTATTAATATGTCTGAAAAATGACAAGTTGAATATATGAAATGGGAATGGTAAAATGTTAATGGTCATCATTGTGGTAATTAAAAGGAAGAACATCATGGGTTCTTAAGATGTATCTTCAAATGCGAAGGTAATTTTATCCACTAAAATTGTATTAAAGGTTATTAGACACATTGTTTCTTAAGATGATCCTTCAAATGTGAAGGTAATTGTTAAATGTAATTTTTATCCATCAAAGTGGTATGAGAAGTTTGGCATATTGTTGTTGGTGCAACCCAATCTAAAAAGTTTTGTAAATCCTCCATCAAAATAAAGGAATACAATGTGGTAGTATATTTGGTACATTTGGCCTTTTAAAGTGATGTTGAGGTGAGTCACATAACGCCAAAACATGATGATGGTTTTCTAATAAAAACTTATGGAACATGTACAAATGGTTAGGGTCCATTTCTTGAAGAAAATGTGACTTGTGTTAGTATGCATAAGAACATGTGAATGTATTGTTAAATAAATGTCACATCTCACCTTTACGGGAGGCTTGAGAGATTTACAAAAAAATTCGACATAAATGGTCATTTTGATTCTATATATACTTTGAGTACTACACAAATATTGTGGTATATTTTATAATGAACTATTGGAGGACAAAAGAAAGAAATAAATTTTTTTAGTAAATGTTGTGATCATGATCAAAATGAATGTTGTTGTGTGGCAATACAAATTTGTCATTAGTTATCAAGAAATAAGTCTTGAATGTAATAATTTTAACCATGAAAATACCATAAAAATAACATTGTGAAAATTGTGGTGGTACACAAAATTAATTGGTAGTTTCAAAAGGGATAATTCTTACTATCGGAGGAATGAAATTATTCATAATATTGAGGTTGTAGTAAGTCTCAAATGGAAGTTTATAAGTTTCGAAAAAATTGAAACAAATATTATATTGAGACTACAAATTATGGGAAGATTTAATATCTTCAAGTTACTACAATCAAAGTGGATTATAAATATTTACATATAAGACTACCCATTTTTCTCCGTTGTTTGTTGTATACAAATATGTGCATGATGATGGAATCACATGCAAAAGTAAACTAGAAGTTGACTAGAATAAATATCAGTTGGCATAATCGATTGACCATTCCGATTTAAATGTGATTAAAGAGAAATTGAGAATTCCTGTGACTATATGTTTGAAGAAATAAGAGATTCTTCAAGAATTCTCTTGTATTGCTTGTTCTCATCATAAAATGTCATTGTATCATCCATGGTTGAGATTATATCCCTTAAAATTATTTTTGAAACACATAAAAAGGTAAATATGGGTCCGTTCACTGCCATGTGGACCGCTTACTAATATAATTTAATTGACTCATCTATAGTATGCTCAAGTGTGCATTTGTATCAACTTACAAATTGGCTTTTGTAAGGTTGTTTGCTCAAATTGCTAAATTAAGAGCACAGTTTCAAACTATAAACTATGTTGATATTATTGATTGGGTTGACAAAAATTGTTTTCCTCAAATTATAGCTAGACCATTGATTATGAGAACAAATCTCTCAAATAAAATTTGGTATGAGATCTAATTTGGTATGATTTCAGTTTATTTATCATGTATGCATCAAGCCAACAAGGTTCTCCCGTCACAATTGGTTCAGCTCAGGAATCAAATAATTTTCATATAAAAATTTGATGTGTAAACATATGATTTTACTGCTTCATCATGTATAACAACACAAAGATGGATTCCCAAATGAGGTTGCGTGTAAATGTTAGATTTTCTAACATTAGGGGGAGATATATGTAGCACCTGAAAGTTATGTGTGGGATGAATTACTAGATCCTCGTTAAAAAAATGTGAGCTTAAAGTTCAAGAGATAATTCATTTGCAAATGTTACAAATAATTTGCCAGATGTACTTGTTGACTCAATATTTTAGACAAATTGAAAATGCTCCAATAAATAGTCCTTGAAGGACAAATTGAAAATGCTCCAAAAAATATTCCTTGAAGGACAAAGTCTATGGTATGTCAAAAACGTGATAGACCAATTGATTCCAAACGTAAAACTCTTTGAAGAGCACTATGACATAACACTTCATAAAACCTTGACAAAAGGTTTAGGTACCTGAAAATGATGAAAATGAAGAGATATCAATAATTTATGTCGTATTGAAATTTATATCAAAATGACCATCGATGGTATCTTTGATATTAAGTAGCACTCAATCCTATAAATAGCTACAAGGATCTTAACTTCGAATCTTCCATATAGTTTTGACAGATAAATGATTAATATTATTCAAGTATATTTTGTTTCACTCAAAGTGGTATTTTAGATCTTATATATCATGGATCAAAATATAATGTCAGTGTGGTACAAATGAATTATTATGCAAAAGTATAATCATAAGATATAAAATGCGATTTGTGCCTCGAGGCATAAAAGATTTTTGCAAAAAATTCTGACATTATTAAATGGAGATATATTCTATAGTAGTGGAAGTAATGAGACTTGTTTCAGTCTGGTAATAGATGATATACTTGTATATGTATAATGAATATATATTATGTCTAACGATCATTAAGGTTATATAAAAATTCTTGATGTTTTGAAGTGGTCTTAAAACAATTTTATTGAATATTCAATGATTTTGAGACTCCTTAACAGAGAGAAAAATCTTTTTGATCTCATAAAAATGATTTACAATGACATGTATTAGTGCAATTGTTGCACTTACAGATTGTTAGTTATGCTAATGCTAGAAGATTGTTTGATATACACAACAAAAGTTATGTGAAGGGATTGTCATATTATCATTCAAGCTATTCCAGGAAACTAACAAATCAAGTTACTCAACACAATATCTTGACAATCAACACTAGTAACCATTTCTTCAAATCATACAGAAATAACATTGATTATGAAATAATTCGGGAGTGTGTTTGGTTAAAATCATGACCTATCATATTCAGGAAGTATGTGATTTTC